CAGCCCCCTACTCCCACGTGTGCCTCACCTAACTCCTTCCTTTTTTACCTACTTCCTGTTTCTGAGAGCAATAGCTCCTCCCTTCCTCCTCCCGCCACGGTTTGTGTTACATTGCAGCACAAATAATTCACTCCTGTACGCAATGAAACGATGACAGCCAATGCTCCTTTTATAAATCTAAGAAACAAAGTCTTCACTGAGCAGAAGCCACAATGTCTTGTGTTGAAACACGAGTCTCCACAGTCACAGACACAGAGTGAGGACACGTCTCCAGACCAGAACCAGAACCTCTAAACTGGACTGTGTGTGCAGCTGATGGCATGTTCAACACAGAGCAGCTTTGTGCTCAGGATCAGCTCAGGTTTCCAGCAGATGTTCTCAGAGGTTAAAGGTCATGAGGGGAAGGAAAGGGTAGCTGTCACTCACTGATGCCGGGTCTTCACCAAAGAGTGTGATCAGGACACACACACAAGTTTGCATCACTTCTGAGGTCACTGACCCACACCGACGTCTGGCAGAACTACTCCCACCTTAAACCAAGCCTTCAACATAACACGTGGTGAGTCAGTGTGGGTGTGTAACAGATTCAGTAACACACATACACTCAGTGTGCAGGGCGCCCCCTGCTGCTGACAGAAAACATGTGGCTATAACATGAAACTGATCACATTAATCATTAAACCTCAGTATTTTTCAGGTTCAATTAGCCTAAAAACCAATGACAACATCACAGACGTGTTTCAGGGTGTGTTCATCTACAGCTGCATTTCAATCCACGCTAGATCACCTCAAGAGAAACAGGGGTGTCTGCCAAAGGGCCCCGGATCCCAAGGGGCCCACGGTCTCCAGCTTTGCTATGTTACATTACATCATTTGATTAATTACAAATTCATTATAAACTTGTGGCCCTGAACTGTTACACTGAGCTCTCCTGTTGTGAAGTTGTGTTTTATCAGATTGCTTTAATTTCTCCAGTGTCTGTAAAGAACAGGTTGTATTCTTCTGCCCCAGGAGAACCGAGGCTGCAGCCAACAGTCACTGTCATCATCATCACAACTGAGAGTTATTTTCATAATAAAGAAATGTTTTGTGAAGGAAATGTTGGGGATTAGTGAGGCATTGTTCCCTGAAGCTCAGGCTAATGTATTCAGAGAGCTGTTCTCGCTGATCAACAGTCAGACCCCAGAGATGCTGAGTTTACTGTTGTAGGAAACTATGAAACATTCTCCCCAGAAAAGCTGGAGTCAGTTTTGCCTTGTAAAGGTTAATCAGTGATTAAACTGGCTTCCAGTGCCTGTTCTTGTCAGTTTGCACTGACCAGCCGATGGTTTCAGCTCTGAGTCCTGATGGTTCACAGTGCTGTGGTTGATTCTGGAAGCTTCTTCTTCTTTGTGTATTGCTCACACAGTTACAGTGGTGGAAACAAGACACTGCTGATACCTGAGCTGCTGCCCATCAGTCAGTCTTAGCCCTCCACCCACTGCCCCGCCTATACAACAGGTGTCAGTTAGTAATACATTCAGGGGCTGTCTGAAACACTAGTGTTCAGTTCACATGGTGTCTTCGTGTTTCTTATAGATGATGGAGAATCAGACTTGTGACTGATATAATCTGTTCATTAACAGTGACTAAGCTATAGCTGTCTGTAGAAGACGTGACTATAACTGTCTCTAACACTAAAGCCCATCAGCTCTGTAACTCAAAGACAGTTCAGCTATTCACACAGCAGCCTGGGATATTTATATTTACAGGAGCACCTGAAGGGAGCATCCTTCAAAGATGTTCTTTTGAGAAGATGGGTCACTCTGTTACCATAGAGACAAACCAGAAGCTGAGCTGTTCGCTTTAACTTGTCCATTGCTTCTCCCAGCAGGTGAACTGTCTCTGCAGCCACATGGAGGTCAACAGCTTGTTTCAAATGGATGTTTCTGAGGTGAGCATTTTATCACTCATCAGTCTGATTGAGTCTACATTTATATTTTCAACATATTTGCACATTTACTGTATGACAGAGGCTAGCATTAGCATGAAACCTCTCCTATGAGGCTGCCGCCCTGTTTGCTGCTTATGTTTCCTATTTTTTGAGAAATCTCAAAGAATAACTGAAACTCCTGGTGTTATGCGACTCTGGTTGTATTCTGCTGTGGGCTTGCTCATAGCCCCCAGCTTAGCCGCCATGTGTTGGAGTTTACCCCGGTGAACGAGAAGGTCGCTTCCCTGCGCCTTCGGGTTGGGGATAGGTCTCTCACTGCCATTTGTGCCTATGGGCCGAATGGCAGTGCAGAGTATCCGGCCTTCTTGGAGTCCCTGGGAGGGGTGCTGGAAAACGCCCCGACTGGGGACTTTGTTGTTCTACTGGGGGACTTCAACGCTCACATGGGCAGCAACAGTGACACCTGGAGGGGCGTGATTGGGAGGAACGGCCCCCCTGATCTGAACCCGAGTGGTGTTTTGTTATTGGACTTCTGTGCTAGTCACAGTTTGTCCATAATGAACACCATGTTCAAGCATAAGGGTGTCCATCAGTGCACGTGGCACCAGGACACCCTAGGCCGGAGGTCGATGATCGACTGTGTGGTTGTTTCATCTGACCTCCGGCCGTATGTCTTGGACACTCAGGTGAAGAGAGGGGCAGAGCTGTCAACTGATCACCACCTGGTGGTGAGCTGGATCCGATGGCGGGGGAGGAAGCTTGACAGACTCGGCAGACCCAAACATATTGTGAGGGTCTGTTGGGAACATTTAGCAAAATCCCCTGTCAGAAAGATCTTCAACTCCCACCTCTGGCAGAGCTTTGACCAGATCTCGAGGGAGACTGGAGACATTGAGTCCGAGTAGACCATATTCTCCACCTCCATTGTCGATGCGGCTGTTCGGAGCTGTGGCCGTAAGGTCTCCGGTGCCTGTCGCAGCGGCAATCCCTGATCTCTGTGGTGGACCCCCGAAGTAAGGGATGCCATCAAGCTGAAGAAGGAGTCCTTTCGAAAAGAGGGACTATCGATCGGCCTTGAAGAAATTCGGGCAAACCGTCCAGGCGGACAGCATCCCGGGTGGTTGCGAAGGCAAAAACCCGGGTCTGGGAAGAGTTTGGTGAGGTCATAAAGAGGGACTATCGATCGGCCTCGAAGAGATTCTGGCAAACCGTCCGGCGCCTCAGGAGGGGGAAGCAGTGCCCTGCC